GTCCTGAACAACAACGTGTTTACAGACAGTGAACTAACCACAGACGCTCCACTGTTCTGCTGTTATCGCAAACATCATGCTACAACTTGCAGCTTGACACGTAAAGAAAACTCACGTTAGTCATTTTCAGAGAATAATCAACAAGAAGTCTGTCTGATAGAACATAGTTGAATTTGGAATAAAGATTCTTTTTTTTTTTTAACTTCATTTAAGACATGCAGGCTCTGCATGTGCACAGCAGAATGAGCAAGGAACAAGAGAGAAAGACAGAAAAGGAGAACATTTGGTTACAAAACAGAAAACAGCATCCTTTGTATGGAAATATTTTGGCTACAGAAAATGGATGTGGATGAAACACAGGTTCTCTGTCAGCAGTGTTTTGCAGTTGTTGCAACTACATGAGGGAACACGGCTAATTAATTTGATTAATTCATCCATCCATCCATTATCTATACACCGCTTAGTCCTCACTGGGGTCGCGGCCGGGCTGGAGCCTATTAAGCCGACTTAGGGTGAAGGCAGGGGACACCCTGGACAGGTGACCAGTCTATCACAGGGCTACACTAGGAGACAACCAAACACACTCACATTCACACCTACAGACAATTTAGAATCACCAATTAACCTCAGCATGTTTTTGGACTATGTGGGAGGAAGCCGGAGAACTCGGAGAGAACCCACGCTGCACGGGGAGAACATGCAAACTCCACACAGAAAGATTCCGGTGCCCCCATCGGGACGCGAACCGGCGACCTTCTTGCTGCGAGGCAACAGTGTGAACCAACTGCGCCACCCTGCAGCCCTTGATTAATTCATTTGCTAAATAATTTGCACAGCGGTGGAGCTCAACTGTCCAGCTGCACCAAAAATTTGGCAAATTCTTTTGCTAATTGGCTAATTTGTACGCTAGGTAGTTCGTCACTGCAACACAGTACAGATAAATTACAGTTCTTGAGGTGTTTGCTGTAGTTTTATGAGGAATACTACCCACATTTATGTAGCTCAAACATTAGTCACCTCTTCATGAAAATGCTGATGTTCTTGTCTGTATGTTCAGTACGGAGTTGGAGCTGGAACCTGGTTAGCATAGCTAAGCATAAAGGCGGAAAGCAGGGGTAAACAGCCAACCAGCTGGCCCACCAATTAGCATGTTCACTGTCTCAGTAAGAGGCTAACATGTTCTTGTGTTTCCTCTGCAGTCCGTGCCCTCCTATGGGACGCAGACTCCTCACAACAACTCCCACAGCGTTGATGTGCCAATGACGGAGATCCACACCCACAAAGACTGCATGTTTGAGACAATGGGCGACTCGGCGGGCCAGAAAAACGCACACACCGTCTACTACAACATCTGTCAGGTGTGACGGGACAGAGCAGCTCTCTCAGAAGAGTCTGGTCAGACCTCATCGTGCCATCTGAGCAGGAGTGTTAAGATGTGATGAACTCTGTGCAGGAATCTCCTTTTGGCTTCCAGTTTAAATCGCCACCAGGAGCTGTGCTTTCCCTGGACAAACTGGAGCTCTGCTCTCCTGCTCACTGAGATAGAGAACAATCACGAATCATTGGTTTAACGGAAACTCGTCCTGATGGCCTGAATTTGAAAGGTGGATATTTTAAAAACTTTGCTTGTTGTTGCTGGAAGAACAAAATGAAGAGGAGCCTGATTTGCACCAGAGGATTATGGGTACACAGCGCCCTCCTGGGAGCACCTGTAGGTTCACTTCCTGGTCTTCCACCTGGTTACACCTGCAGAGAGAAAGCTGCAAACTTCGCCTTCTACTACCAACAAAAGGAGATTCAGTGATTCACTACGAGTTGAAACAGGTTTGTTGCAAAGGAGCCTGGACGCCTTCTTTTAGAGGCTTTGGAGCTGAGAAGAGGCCGGACCACACTGAAGGGGATATACATCATCGTTTTAACATTTAACAGCTACACTGGATGTATTGCAGATATCTGTATTTCAACTCTTCCTAGTCAAAAAGGACATTTCTGATATTAACGTCCTCATTGTTCCAGGACACATGACGTTACTTTGACCATTCATGTGTTTCTCATTTCAGATATCTACAGTTCAGCTGCAGATCTCCACAATGTGGATTCCAGATATCTGCAGCTGAATTCTGACTATCTGTAATTCCAGTTTCAGATATCTACAGTTTAATTATCACAAGCCATAATTTGAGTTCAAGATATCTTAAATTCTTCTCAATTCAACAGATCTACATTATCCTTTTAAGATATCTTCACTTAAATTTGAACTGAAGATATCTCACAGTGGAATTCTGCCTCGTCAAAATGTAACTGCATACATCTTGCATTAGTGAAGTGATGTTGCAGATATTTGTAGTTACGTCAGAAGCTACAGCGAGTGGGAGGCAACTTGCTTTTCAAAGATCCTGCATATGCAACCATAACTACATATAACAGCCAAGTCAGAGCAGCCTGAGGGCAAAGTTCTGGTAAATTACCACCACAAGTCTCTGATGAACGAAGCTCTTGTTCTGCACAAACGCTTCTATTTCAAGGAATTTATTTATGGTCTCATCCATCACAGCAGCCGCCATAACTTCTGCTGAGACTGTTCAAATGCTTTGCTGGACCGATATCCCATGGGAAGCCTCACATCAGCAGCGTCATGCACAAGACTAGTCATAAGACTAGTCATAATGACGCCATAGATATGTGGGATAATGACTGCAGATACTCAAACTCTGCAAGCGAATGTTTTAATATGTTTTAGAAAGACGTGTGTAAGACTCAAGTAGAGAGGAACATGTCTGGGTTTTATTGGTTTGGTATCAGGGCAGAGACTGTCATTCACAGCCCTGGAAGCAGCCCGAATGTTGGAACTGCTGCACCAACACTCTTGGATGTGGATCAGTAACTTTGTTCATCTAAATTTTACAGCCAGACCAGATCCGCCTTTATCATGGGATAGTTTTTCAGTAGCACACTGGACCCCATTATATGAAATGAAAACAAGGTTCATCAATCCCTTCAGGAGACTGTTTTTATGTTTTATCGACCACATGAAGAAACAAGCCACATCTCTGTCTTACCTCTCAGGTGTTTCTATAAACCTATGACTGAGCTGGGATCTCATTGGCCGGTGCTCACGCTGGATGAAGGGTTAAAGAGTGATGAATGAATCCAAGTGCTCTTCATCTTGCAGACTCAACCTTCTTCTTCTTCTTCTTTCTCCTTTGTGTATATCAGCATGCTGGCATGCGTTTTAACTGGCTTCATTTGAAGTCAACGTGCATTATTTTCTTCTCTTGCTGTTGTTGTTTTGACTCCAATGTTCCAAAGTAAACAAAGTGCTGTAGGGATAATGGGAATTTTACAAATGTCAGTTGCAGCTAAACAGATACTAGTCTGGGTTTCAGTTGAGCTCATGCCTCTCCTGGGTTTACTTAACATTCAGAATAGATGTTGTTAAAGTTACAGTGATTTATCAAGCTTTTCTGGAGCCACAGAAACAGCTGAATTCAGCCATGTGAAAATGAATTAGAAGTAATGTTATGAGACTTGTAAACTGCATAAATTGTACTTCAGTGGCTAAAATGTTAAAATATCAAAGATACAGCCCTTTAACCTCACTACAGTTAATCCAATGTTTCATATTTCCCGGTGAAGTGCCCCTGAATGTCTTTGTTTAAATCTAGCTGTTTCATTAGAGTTAAACGTGAAAACGTAGACCTGCCTTAATATGACTGTTGATTGTCTGGGTAACATTGGATAAGCTGTAATTTATTTGCTAATTCAAAAGTAAAAAACAAAACCAAAAAAAACAAAACAAAGAGCAACAATGTGTCTTTGTTCTTTGTTTCAAACCCCAAAATTTTTGAGTTTAAATCAGAAACAAATCACATTTCATTTTTATTTTTGACTACAAATGAATTTGACATTATCGGATGATACCCAGACCACAGATCCTCTGTTGTTTTAACCTCAGTGTTCGTCTGCCAACGCACCATCAGCCCAACAAACTGTAGAAATGTCAACTGTTATCGAAGCACATTTTCATCAAACTGTATAATCTGTATGACACTTGTTCTTTTTATATGCGCTGTTATTAATTTGTGTGATTCATGTTGATTTGTACATGAAAATAAATGTGTGTCATTCTTTCTTCCATGGACATGTTACTGTATGTGTGGCAAGACCAGGACATGTTTAGCTTAGCTTAGCTTAGCTTAGCTTAGCACAAAGAATGGCAGCAGAGGGAAACTGCAAGCCTTCAGTCAAAAGAGACACAACAGGAGCTACATGTTGTGTTTTGCTTATTGAAGGGGTTCAGAAATGACAAAAAAATCTGCAACATCTTTTTATTTTCAACACATATAGAACCTGACATGAAGGATTCTTTATCATAAAACAGCCCTCTGGTGCCAAACTTTCATTCAGTTCAAACACTGAGTGTAAGGGGGCTCATCTGCCATAAATAAAGATTGAAATATAAAACAGCAGAGTGAACGCTCAGATAATAACTGGTGAGGTTGGACAGTAAAAGGACGTCGTCACCGCTGCAACTATTTTTACCCTCACTGAGCGCTGCAGTCATTAATCTAATCAGGCGAGCATGAGGCCGCACGAGACCGAAGCCCAGCGACGACACGCAGCCACAGGTGCTCACGGGTGCTTCTGCTGCTAATCCACCACAGATTAAAGTCACAATGAAGATTTAATGAGTGAGCGAGGAACAACAGGGATTAACCAGGCTTACTGAGGGGTCTCCTGACTTTGCATGCAGGGAGTTTCTCTCCTCAAGGACGTTATGGGAAACCCTGTCAGGGCACGGGGTCGCTTTGTTTGATGCAAAATAACACAACAGTTGTAGCTTAGCAGTAGGCGGTTATAATAATTTACAAGTCTTAGTTTTAATAGTGTAATCCATCCATCCATTTAAAGACCGTGAAGGGCTTTAAATGTAAAGATGAGGTTTCCACGAGGATGTGTCATCAGAGCTGTGAAGGTGTGCAGTGTAGTTTCCACTGCAGCCTGCAGAGGTCAGCAGCAGGACAAAGAAAGTAAGGCCTGAATTCTGTTGGTCAGAGATTGGGATGAACGATTTGGAGAAAGATCTAAATCAGATGTTTGCAACAGACATTATGAGTTAATATTCCTAAGCTTCAGTTCAATATTTATTGTGTAATTGATTTACAAGACGTGATGGATCATTACTCACAGGTTCCTCTGCCTCATCACCTCATGTCCTCCCTACCTTTTCTCCCACATAGGAACAAGGGCTGTTCTGCACATTTTCTTTACGTTTCTGCTCCAGTTGAGATGCTTTTAATGCACTTTTCAATGCTCTAGCACAGTGGTTCTCAAACGTTTTAAAGCCACAACCCACAAGATAACATAAGTTTGTGTTCGTGACCCCTCAATTTGAATTTTTAATATGGCATGAGTAATAACTTTGTTGGATCGTGCATTAATGCATTAAAAATCAACATGATAATTCCACACATTAATCTCCTTACATCAATACATTCATTGTCTTTTAAATTAATGAATGACTTGAATTTCATTTCAAATGAAAGAGAAATAATACAAAAACAAAAGAAAACTATTTTAAAAAGAGCAAAAAAGAATAATAATCAAACCATAATATTAGCAAGTTCAAAAAAGGAGTGGGAAGAAGTATACGCTTTTAATTTTGACAGCCCTAATACACATTTATTTAATAAATGTAGACTTTATGTTGTTTTTTTTTTTTTTTTTTTTTTTTTACAATGATCTGGTGAACCCCTGAAGCCTATTAAGCTGACTCAGGGTGAAGACAGGGGACACCTGGACAGGTAACCAGTCTATCACAGGGCTACACTTAGAGACAGACCACCAAGCACACTCACATTCACACCTACAGACAATTTAGAATCACCAATTAACCTCAACATGTTTTTGGACTTGTGGGAGGAAGCCAGAGAACCCGGAGAGAACCCACGACTGTTTTATTAAGCTGATTGGATATTGCTAAAATCTCCCTTTTTGTTTGGCAGCTTGTGTCACCAATCAACTCACCTCAAACTGCACACTAAACAACTTTTCTGCCACAGAATATGTGACAGTGTTTTTTTAATTTATTACATTTTGTGAGGATCCTAGACTTTGTTCACTGGGTTTTTGTCTGTCTCTGTGTGTTGGTGGGTGTGTCTCTGTTCACTGCAGGCTGGGCGGAGCCGATCAGGGAGATCGCTGTCAGCTGTGGCTGATCAGCTGTGCCCGGCTTAAATACTGGCGTCTCACAGAAGACCCACGCCAGAGGATTGTGATCCTACCACGGGGGTAACAGTCAGACCACGAGCTGCCACACCGCGCTGAGCATGTCCAGCGTTCTTGATGTTCTCTAGTCTCGAGTTAATGGTATGTTTCTCTGCCTTGTCTCCAGTTCTCCTCCTCGGCACTCGGCACACCTCCAAGCTCTCCAGCGTTTTGTCACCCACGGGATTTCACGACCACGGACACCTTCACCGGGAGACCCTTCACGAGAGCACCCCCCCACGAGCACCGAACCCCGAGCACCGGACCCCTGCGCACCACCCCAGTTTCTCTCGTCACGGCTCCCTCTCTGCACCGGGAAAACCCCCACGGACCTCTCAGGCACCGGCTCGTCGTGCACCACTCTCGGGACCCCCCTTCCTCGGATCACAACCCCAAAGAACTTCACTCCACCACCTTCCTTCAATAAATCCTGTTTCCTTTAACCCTTCTCCCTTTTCGTTTGGCTCCACCCGCACTGTCACCGAGCACGAATCGTCACACATTTTATTAAAAAACACACAACTTTAATTGTATAAATGTGATCCAAGAAAGGTAAAGGGCAAATATTAACCATACAAGTTTATGCTGTTTACTGTATATTGCTTGTAATTGGGATGAAGTAAACATCTGTTAAGCATTTGAACATAAAATTGTTTGATTGTGTTGAATTAAACCCCCCAAAATGCAGCAGGTCCACTGGCTGAGTAACAAAAATATGAACATCACACAAGGGATAAAGGACCTTTTCAACATGTATATGCATGCAGTTTTTGGCAGTTTTGACAAAATGACATGTTAAGATATGAAATGCGATTAATGAATCCAAATGACTTGATTTCAGTCTCGAGACTGTAATTTTAAGGTAATTTCAAATGACATATTTAAAATTTTGTATATATTTATTCACAGTTGCTTCTTAACATTTAGCACAAACTTCATTTTCATGCGTATATTCAGTGTAGAAAACACATTTAATATTCAGTAAGGAGGGACGATACACATTTTGAGAGATGAATACTCACAAATGTTTAATGACGTGTCATGACATCAGGTGTTTTTTGTCAAACACAGGCTGGTTTCCTCAGTAGAGATGCAGTGAATAATATTGTTTGCAGCTGTGAAACTGCACAAATGGGTCTCGGTTCTCCAGTGGATTCTTATCTGCAGCTTATAGCCACCATCCCCAACAAACACAACAAGAACATGACCCCTTGGCAACAGAAAAACTTCAAATTGAAATTAAATATATTTTAAAAACTTGCAATAATTGATGCTCAAAACTTGTAATCAGTGTGACGAATTGCAAATGCAAAATAGTGGCTAAGCAGCCAGTGTGCAGCAGAAAGATGGATTAATGCCATGTATCAGTGACAGAACTGTCTTTTAGATTTACTCACTTTTTTATGTATAAAAGAAATACAATGTGAAGAGGGTTTTACTTGAGGTAGCAGTTCAACCAGGGACAAGACATCAGCCTGTTCACTGACCATATGAGCATCAGATCCAGATCTAAACCTATAGATTCACAGTGTCACTCTATTTTATCAACATTCAAATCTGTTTCTGATCTTCTGTAGATCTCTCAGCAGCAGATTCACTCATCATCAAAGTCTGCAAAAGCAGGATACCAGAAGCTGTCCTTCCTGACCGACCTGCTCCCAGCTGCGTTTTCTTCCTGTCGTCGTTGGACTTTCTTTATCCAGGAGATCTGAGCGGCAGCCAGAGATATCATGCAGACCTACCAGGAAAAACGCCAACAGGATTACAAACTGTAATCAACTCGATAAGTTGAAAGGTTGGAGTTGGTGTTACCTCGAGCAGCAGCAAGCCACCGGTCAGACCAGCCACCAGCAGCAGGTTGTTCTTCGCCCACGACACGATCTTCTCCAGGCAGCCGATGGTGAAGACGTCCTGGCTGGCCGAAGACTCCTCCTGCTGCTGCATGCCATAACCACACATGGTGTTGAGCACAGTCTGCAGGAGGAGAGAACACACGGTAGCACTGTCAGGGTTAGGTGTTTGAATGAGTCTGATTCAGAGTTGCATGTGGTTAGATTTACTACAACAGTAAAATCCTGCTTTTATAATGTTGTATGAGTAAAATTAATCTAAACGTCACAGGGATTTTACCATAGAACACTTTCCTGATTATACTTATGCTTGAAGAAACAATATTACTGCAGTTCTTTTACTTAATCATTTAAACTCCAGGCAGCTTTAGGGCTTTTTTTTGCCCTCGTCACATTTTACTCACTGATGGCTCATTTTTCACTGCAGTGTAAAGTCCTGCACCTTTATGGTAACAGTAAAACCACTTAGAAGTAGAAGGACCTCAAAAATATCTTCTGTGCTGTATGAGATACCCAGAATACCATAAATCATAGAAAAAAATACCTAGAATCAACATGTCCTACAGGTGTTACCAATACAGCAAAAAAAAGTGGGGGCTTGACAGCCTTGCATATTTTACGACTTATATTTTAAATTTCTTTTCATGCTTGACTTCTATCAACACTATTTTTAAACAACCTGCAACACAGCCCAAAAATCATACTTTATTTATTCACTAATGGCTTAATGGTTGCAGAATTTTTTGTTTTTGACAGAGGCGGGTTATAGCACATCCTTTATTTTTTGACAAGTGAGACGTAAAATAAAGTGATTTTGATTAAATATCATGATTTGAAGCATAGCTTTGGTTAAGTTATGTGGCAGAACTGTGGGTTCATGCCTGATAGTTACAAAGACCGGTAAAAAAATTGAAAAGCTGATGATTGTTTCTGCTTTATGGTGTCCTGGCTGATCACTTTGGGGATTTTTAAAAAACGATAGCAGGCCTTCGCCAGTTTTAGGTTCCAGCGGATTAGACATCAGATTATAGGTTGTAAACTTTCTGCAGGTGAAAAAGACTTGACGGATTGGTTCTGACCTGGTTCTGCAGGTGAAGGCAGCAGGAGAAGGGAACCCCACAGGCCTCCAGACTAGGGTTGGTGTCTGAACACTCAAAGTATACATTATGGGACCAGTCCTTGTAGCTCTCGACTCCACAGCACTGGAACTGCAAACCCAACACACATAGCCACAGCACAGTCACCTTACCACAGTCTGTTATGCCATGTGTGGTACAATGTATTTGGAAATCCCAGAACCTTCTTCTGGATAAAGTCGATAGCGTTCTCCAGGTCCTGGTCCTCTCTGTACTGGACAATGGCCTTCATCATCAGCTTCTCTGTTCTCTCCATCACCTGGACAAAGGCAGCATCATGCTTATGCTTTGTTTGGTACTTTAGTTTGATGCAACTCTCTGTATGCAGTGCAGTGCTACCATGTCCGTGAAGAGGTATCCCACGACTCCAGCTGCAATCTGCAGCAGGAAGATGATCACTAGGATAGCCAGAAACTGCAAGAACAAACAAGCCGCTTGTTAAAACAGATTGCCAGATCAGCAGAGCAGCTACATACGACACAAACCAGGCAGTGGGAGTAATTTTCATCAGACTGATGTGGTACCGTCTTCAGAAGGCAGGTGGCGTTACGGATCGCCCCGAAACATCCCAGGAACGTGATTAGGAACATCACGGAGCCGACGATGATCAACAGCAGAGCTGGATCCAAAGTCAAGGTATCGACCACATCTACACACACACACACACACACACACACACACACACACACTTATGTCTTTGTACTTCTGACTTTATAAGGTTGGTTGACATAATAAAGCCAAGAACCTTCAACCCTCAGTCCTTTGAAGGTCTGTTATGTTGTGTATTTTAAACCCCTGCATATAAATACTAGGCATGTACTTAAGCACAATTTTAAACTGGAGTATTTTCATTTTCTGCTGCTTCATACCTCTAGTCCACTACAAATATTGTACTTTTTGCGCCACTACATTTATCTAAATACTTTAGATTAATTTAGTTGCTCGCATATTCTGATTAATGATACAAAACATACTTAACAGATAAATGATGATTCCTTGTGCTCAACTGCTGTTGATGTGCGCTGGTTTTGAGACTAATTAAATGTCAGAATGTGTCCTTGTCAGGTCTAAAACTGACTTTTGTTCTCACACAGATTGACAAACCAGCTGAATTCTAGCCATCATGAGCAACCGCGGGTAAAAGTCGAAACATGTCAGAGTGCATTTTGGTGGCTCATTTTCAGGAATGTGATAGGCAGAGCTTTGTTTTTATAACCAAACAGAGACAATCGTGTTTCCATTACTTCAGATCACATTATATTGGCTGACATTACAGATACCAAAAACAAATTCAAACTCTTGGAATCAACTCTAGACCATCAGCCTTCCTTGTTTGTCCTGAAATAACAAGACAACACTGTCCAAACACTCATGGTCTTGACTGTGCAGTACTTTTTTACAGACTGATTCTGACCCTAAGCCAAGTCTTCACTAAAATGTAATGATTTAGGGTATGGGGACTGGCTTCAGTTTCTGAAGGATCAGCTGTGCTCATGCTCATGCTATGTGAACTTGTACAAGTGAGAGGTTTAGAATTTATAGTTTTATTGAGGAGAGTCAATCTGTTGCTTTACTGCAGACTTCTCTGTCACCATGATACACGACAAATAGGCTGAGATGATTAAAAATTTTAAAAATAGAAAAAAAACGCTCTTATGAAGTCTTCTGATTGACCTTTCTCTTTGGCGATCTTGGCGTAGATCCCCACCGCTATGAGGATGGCGCTCACAACCTGCAGAATCACAGAGAAACAGATTTTGTTCGTATCAAAGCGCACGATTACCATAATAAAATTCAAATCAAATCAACTTTATTTATAGAGCGCATTAGAACAGCCACAGCTGAAAAAAAAAAAAAAACAGCACAGAACAAATAAAAAACTATTAAAACAGAGCGAGGAGTGAACAAAAGTGGGTCTTGAGGTTGGTTTTAAAAGCAGACAGAGAGGAGCTCTGCCTGATGTGCAAGGGTAGATCGTTCCAGAGAATGCTCGGTCCCTTCAAAATGTTTGCTTGGACCTCGGTACCTCAAGGATCAGCTGAATGAATGAAAAAAATACTTTATTCATCCCAGAAGGGAAATTCAATAATGACCGGAGGTACCGTGCAGGGGTGTGGGGGTGAAGAAGCTCAGAGAGGTAGAGCGGGGCGAAGCCATTTAAAGATTTAAAAACAAATAAAATAATCTTAAAATGAACCCTAAAGTGCACAGGCAGCCAGTGGAGGGAGGCCAGGATGGGCGTAACGTGCTCCCTCTTTCATGCTCCAGTTATCAGACGGGTGGCAGCGTTCTGAACTAACTGGAGACATGCAAGGGAGGACTGGCTAACTCCAAAACAGAGTGCATCACAGTAATCAGAGGTAATGAAGGCATGGCTTGCTGTTTGAAAGTGCTGGTGCGCGAGAAAAGGCCTCACCTTAGCAAGCTGCCTGAGGTGAAATTATTCAACTTTAAACCCTGTAACTCTGATACTCAATACAGCAGCACTTTCACAAGATGCAGAATAATTTGGATAATTTTATCACATGGAGTTTGAGCAGAGGACTGTTGGGTTGGTGTCCGCTGTGATTCTGCAGTGGACTAGTCTAGTCAAGTCTTAGGTCTTCAGAGGAATAGTTTAGATGAAGTCTCAGGTCTCTTAATGACTAGTTTAGGTCAAGTCTAGGTATGTTATTGATCAATTGTTAATCTGTCAGTTACCATTAATAATTTCTTTACTTAAATATACATTAATCGACAATTCAGAAGATGAGGAATATGCATGTCAGAAAATGTATTGTCGATTTGTTGTAGTACCTGGTTGTTCCAGCAGGTGGAGCCTGTTATTGTTTAATGAGATGGAGTTACAGGGGTGTTTGCTGACCGCCCATAAAGGTCCCTAAAACGAGCGCACCTCCTTGTCGTCTAACTGTTTACTGTGACAACCATGTTGATGAACTTCGCAGCATCAAGTTGTTTAAAAGGTGTCTGACGACTTTCGGGTTTAGCTAACTACCTGAGGCTCATGCTAACGCTGAGCTAGGATTTTCAAATGCCAACACAGGCTTTGAGCTGAGTGTCTGTCAGCAGAAAGCAATGGTAGCTGCTAGTGCTGCTAATGTTCAGGAGCCACAGGACTCTGATCACATGCTTCCAGCAACATTCACACTAAAATGATGAAGTAAATCGGCAACACTTTGCTTTGAGTGTAAATACAACAAATACTGACAGATTTGCTGGACTGATTAAGTTGCTGTTACAGTATTTGTGGACCTTTGTACCAGCTGAGCAGCTGTTTCCAGCAGCTGGACTAACATTAAGTGAACAAGTAACTGCATCATGTAGATCAAGTGTGAAAATTATTTTTAAATCAGACAAGTTGCAAGTGATTAACTGTGGATGACCGCAGCTTGTTTGTTGTATTTAATACTTTGATTCTGTCAGGCTGATAGTTGAATAGCAATTGTAAATGAACTCTTTTTTTAATTTATTTTTTTTGTTTTATTCCAGTTAACTGGGATTTATTTAATCTGCTCTTCAAATTGATAATAGAACTGAGCTTATTTTGCAGTGAACATTAAGTCTCAGTCGTTAAATCAACATACAAAAAATTGTCCAATGTATTTACATTTTTTAAACCATTAATTATTGATTGACAACGTGACCAACTATCAGTTGGGAAATGACCTAAAATTTGCACCTGTAAAAGGAGCCGTTCCTTTCTTTTTTTCTTTCCATAAACATATCATTGCATGTAGACATAAATTTCTCTTTGATCACAGTTTCAGAGTTGTCATCAAGTCAGGAGAAACCAAACCACATGTTTAGTTCACACATACTTTTGTCCGTACAGTGTAAAACACCTCTACCAATTTACTTATTGTGTAACAGAAAAACATTCTGAATCACCTTATTACTTAGATAGAGATATAGACGTTTATTTGTCTCTGTGGGGAAATTGGTTTGCAGCAGAAAACACTTAGGTAGCCCACAAACACTTTCACACGTGATGTCCAGATCAGCTGGATCTATAGATCTTATAGAATAAAGCAGCTCATTCTAAAATGATAAGAAACTGAGCTTTGTCACAGTGAACATTCATTAATTAGATGTTTGTGGTTTTCAGACCATCCTCTGTCTGAGAAAACGTGTTGAAATCAGCATTGTGTGACAGGTTTAGTCACGTAAATGAATGTGTGAAGCATTTGATCTTGAGACTGTTTGAACGCAGAGACTCACCCAGAAGAAGTAGCAGAAAATGAATAAAGTGTATTTGATGGCTCGGTATCCTCTCATGTCCACTGCTGTTCTGTCAGGCTGGTGGAGGTTTGTTACCTGCTGACATGACTGCAGGAAGACGTGTGTCGGCCTGCAGGATGCATTCCTGCTCAGAGGCTCGCGCTCAAACCCCTCCTCTGCTGTCACTATCAAACCTTATCACATCTGCTGCTCCAGCTGCATATTTACACAACAACACAAAGGCCTGTTAGCGCCCCCTCAAGGCTGCACGGTTCACTAAACAAACCAGAGTCAACTGTGACACATGATGCTGATTTCAAATGTAAATATTCAGATTTCTAGACGTTTTAGTCTAGTTATATCTGTATATCCTGATAATGTTTCATCTACATGTTTGTCTCAGTTACTTTGTGCTGCTTCTTGTCGGATTCTTGAGCTTAATTCATAAATGTGTTACATAAGATTAATGTTAGACACATAACATGACTGAACATGAGGGACTTCTTATTACCAGCAGCACCGCAGGTCAAACTGATCAAAAGGAGGAAACTTGTATTGATCAGGAGTGTGTGATTCCACAGATGCTACTGGATGCTCAGTAACACTTTACATTCAAACAGTAATTATTTCATTCGTCCATCTTTAGCCTTAATATTTACTTTTATTATTATTTATTAACTTCTATTTATTATTACTATTTATTTACTACAACCTATAATCAATGTGGATTTTTTTTTGTTCAAATCAATATACGAAGTTCTGCTTTAAATGTCCCGTCTTTGTCTCAATTAGTTTTTATAACTCTTGTATTATCGTGTTATTTGTAAAGCACTTTGAATCCCTCTGGTGCAGTACTTGTACAGTCTGATTGGCTGATTAACTGCTTTAAATTATGAATTGAAACCTGGTATAAAAGTTGAGCAAATAATCCTCTGTAGTTTCATTATGCTAGTATGTGTCTCAAAATGTAAAAGTCCATCAGAATAACTTTGAAGGAATGCACCTGTGGGTTGATTGACTGTTCCAGCTCCTCCTCCTCCTCCTGTGCTGCTCCTCCTCCTCATTACAGCAGATTGTTACCGTCCAAGGATTAGTCTCCACTGTGTTGTCCTCTCCGCCACAGGCTGCTCTCCTCCGACTCCTCTGCTGTCTGAGGACCTGATTGAGGACCATGGGCCTGCTGGACATCCTCAACTCCATCAAAGTCCGAGCCGAAAACTTTCTGAACGAGAAGAATGTGGTGACAGATGTTCTGGGGAAGATGGAGGAGAAAACTGGGATAAGGAAGAAGATCATTGCTGCTGGTACGTGAGCTTTGAGCTCCTGTTGTTCAGTCTCCTCGGTTCCTGTGAACCACCTTCTGGATCATTCTGCTGTGTTTAAATTTAGTTGGTTTGTACCTGCCTGTTGCATGCTATTGGGTGACTGAAGAGGATTCAGGTAATCCTCCTGTGAACAGCTGCTGCCTGCACACAGCAAGCTGGAAATGTTGGGCTGTAGTTGTGCTGCAGTTCATTTCTACGGACATAAGTACATATTGCTCAAGTATCAGAGGCCTTTTATTTAATATAAAGGTGTCACTTTCACAGTCTCTGCAGCTCTGCTGAGTTTTACCTTCTTTGGTTTTGTGCTACATTTCATGTTAAGTTCAGTCTCAAAGCTGTAACAAGATGTGAGTTTGTCTCAAAGTGTTCAATACAGGTTCAGTTCAGTAGAGACTTATGTTCAGTACTTCCTGTGATCCAAACAGTTCCTGACAGAACTCTATTGTTGACACATTTTGGATCAGGGCAAGTTTCCTACAATGCCTGGGCGATAATTGTCAGCAGTATGTATCTGTGAAGGACACCTGATCAATTGCAAAAGAAGATTGATAGAATGTTCAGTAGTACCACTTAAATCCATCAGATGCAAACATAAGGTTCGGTTGCATGAACAAACCCCAGGTCTACCCCCTCGCTGCCTCACAAATTCTATCTCTTGATGGAGCTCCTTCTCCCTCCATCGGTTTCGCTGTAGGTTCTGTGCAGATCTCCCAGGATACAATAGTCTGAGCTTCTCATTACCACCTCCTCTGGTGGAGACCAGGGACCAGTGATGGGCTTTGTGGTCAAAACCATCTTTTTTCTCCTCCACCTCTACCGAAGTGATGCTCTCTTGGTGGACTTGTCTTTGGGGTTCACGGAGGCCAGTGCAGGTTCACCGTCCAGGGATGCCCATTAAAAAGCAGCCACTCTGAACCCTAACCTCGGTGCAGCAGGTTCATCCTGGTTGCTCTCTGTTCACCTGTTCAGAGTTACAGGCTGATTGCTGTTTATAGTTACAAGAGGTGTGTCCATTACACAACAAGAGTCAAAAATAGAGATCTCAGGTCCTCTCAGGTTTGGAGTTTCCGTCTGAAGAGGCTCCTTGGTCAACTTATGAACTCCAACTAAATGTGCAGGTCCGTCTGAGGAGATGCCTTAATTGTACCATCAGAAGAATGTAGAACTTAGAGTTTTACATTTTATGGAAAACAGTAAGATTTAAACCTATGAAATGTTTACAGGGGAAAAAAAGTGTTCACTGCCGTGTTGTAAATAAGCTTTTTCTATAAGAGAGAGAGAGAGAGAGAGGGTTGCTGTCTCTCTCTCCCTCACTGTAATGATGAACTCTTATTCTTTTTATTTATGTATTATTTACCAACGACCCAGTGTTTGTTTTCTTATTTAAGGTAATATGAGTCATAGCAGTATTTCCACCAGAGTATCCCACATTTACAAAGCACCTGTACAGGGCCACATTCTGACATTTATTAACTATTCACTTTATTTTTTAAAACGTTATTAATTGCATCTGAAAGCAGTTAAAATCAATGTAAGGTTGTTGCTTAGTCTGATATTCTTTACAAAAAATAGGTCACTAAAAATGACCAGAAATGATCTGTGTCAACTGAAATACAACATTTTATCATCCAGCCCATAGTTCCAGCGCAGTGTGGGAATTTCTAGGACTGGATCAGTTCGGGAAAATAAATGTAATGTCAGTTTTCATGGTGTTTGGAGCTGCCAAACTGTTTCGCCTCATAACGGCAGCAAATCCAGACACCTGCAGCACATTTGTTTGAAAGGAATTGCTGCAATACTTTGCGTGGAAATGTGAAGCTTTCAGTGCAAGGAAACTCTTATGGCTGTGCTCATTGTTGTTTCCTCTGAAACAATGAATAAACAATTCTGCACAGGCTAAAAAAGTACAGGGGAACTCGAATATAATATTTTCAGAGTGCTAAGAGAAAATAAGATTAGTAGTGTAGGTATCAGCAGCTGTTTTTGGGCAAGATGTTGTTGCAGCTTGAATGAAAAGCTGAACTCTGAACTCGTCTGGGTTTGGTGTTAGTTGATTTGACACAACATGATATCATACAGAGTCAGAATGTAACATACAGTTGGATTTCCAGACAGTTTATTTACACGATAGAAGTCCAGCTGTTTGTAGTCAGATTTGGAATATTGTTCTACACAGAGGTCTGGAAATCTGAGTCTGGAAAAGTTTGGAATTTTCAATTGAGATAGTCTTGGCTGGACTGGCCTTAACTTTGTACCTTCAATCTTGTGAGGACTATTTACACTCGTCACACTGTTTTACTAAAGTGTCACGTTGCTGTGGTTACAAACTTACTTTTAACTGTGGCAGTGGATGGATTAAAAATGACTGCTGAGGTGAAGAAATGAGAATTAAGTTACTTCCTTTTAAACAGGAAATAATATTGAACTTTGTGGATATGTATGCTTGCATCTCCCTCAAGATGTGTGTGTTATAGGCAGACCCTCACCATCACATCTATTACATTTATGCCTGCACTACACACAACCTGAACATTAAAGCCTCTCCTGTTTTCAAGAAGTTATCTGTTTGTAGGTGGTGCCTGAATGTGCCAAATATGGCAGAATCTCTGCAAGGTGTCTCCTTAGTGTGTGTGTGGCTTCATGCTGAGAATGTAGACAAACTCAAGTGATGAACTGCAATCAAGTGATGGCTCTCAGTCTGTCATTCAGATGTGGGTCACTTTTCTGTTCATGTGTGCGATCGCTCACCTGTCTAATGTGAACAAAAGTACAGTGTGAGTCTGGCCTGGACCAATCCTGTCTGATCCTGTCTCCATGTCGGGGATGATTTATAATTACAATTAATAAATGAAATTACTGGCAGTGTTGTTCCACAAATGCGTGCAGGACAAAGCTTACATAAACCACTTCACACAACTTGAAGTACTGGGTGCAGTTCAGGCTTGTTCCATGTTCAAGGTGATGCAGACTTAATAAAATTGCGGCTTTTCTAGAAAAGTTATCAGGGTGTTCATTCAGACATGAAGCCAACGCATTCAGTTGCTGTCAGATTAACAGAATAAACAGCATGTCTGAAACAGGCTGCGGAGAACCAGAGAAACTTTTGGTATCGCCAGCATGCTGTACTTCATCTTACATTTACCATATTAGGAAACATTTATTGGTGTAAAATGGAAGAGAAACAACCAGTGGCAGTAGCTGCAGGGA